TCCCTCTCTCTCCCTCCCTCTCTCTCCCCCCTCTCTCCCCCTCCCTCCCTCTCTCTTTCTCCGTCTCCCTCTCTCTCTCTCCCTCTCCCTCCCTCCCTCTCTCTCTGCAATTGGGAAGCCAGCTTCTCTCCCTCCCAAAATTGAACACAGTGGGAATGAGGGTGTATGGAAAAGTTCCTGTATCCCTAATTTTCCCATCAATCTTCCATCCTAATCCTAGCCAGGGCCGACCCTGCTTAGCTTCCGAGGTCTGACAAGATCAGGCTAGCTTAGGTATCCATAAAAGATTCCGCTGGGAATGAATGGTACTTTGTGTGTGTTGGCTGATGCACGGCTGCTTCAGATTCTCTTGTCCTAGGACGCAAAATTTCCCAGCGCTCGTGTACAGGGAATGCAGGCCGCCTGTCCTTTCATAGCCTCATTTATGGAGGGGCAGGGCCGGAAGATTGTTGATAGGCTTTCGAGGACTCCTGCCCCTCGGTGCTTTATTACTGGTGCGCAGGTGGGGGAGTTCGGCAACGGAAATTGTGCTGGCGAGGGGGTTTCAAGAACTCTCAAACGAGACCAAAGGGGCCCGGTGAACCTCTGTCCTTTGAATTAAAAAAAAAAAAGCTGGTGGAAGCGGGGCATAATCGGGGAAGGCATAAATTAGGTAGAGTACTGTGTAAAATTTTACTAGCGGCCCATAAAAAGCAGACAGCTTGTGAAATACACTCTGATAAATAGAAACAAAATTTGATCACCCACACAATTGGAAAAAAGAACAAGACCCAAGAGGGTGTTCCTGAGGTTGTGTGTTCTTGGAGGGGAGTTTCTGACACGCAGGGGTGCAACTCAGTCAGATGCGACTCCCTCGCTTCTGTTCTCCTTCTTTTAAATCGTTGCATCACGCCACTTGTTCGGCCCTTGGGTTAGTGAACGGGATCGATCATCAAAATCAGGAAAGCATATGGAGGAAATCGTCCTTTATGTGTAGTCCACGATCGCATATGCTGGAATAAAAGGTCGCTAGTCTTTAAGGTGACACAAGACTCCTGCTTGTTTGGCCTGCAGCAGACTAGCACAGCTACCTATTTGGACTTATTTTCACTCCAGAATAACTGATAATACAAACAACATGGGGTGTGTCTATGTGTGTGTGTGCTCATTTCTCTGGCAGGATTTCAGCATTTCCTGGATATGCTTCAAGATCTGCAAGTTTCAGGTTTGTAGTCCTGTTGGTATGCAGTAGAAGCATGAAAAATTGAATCCCGTAGCACCTTAAAGACCAGCAGAGTTTCAGAAGTTAATGCTTCCTTCATGCGATGAGCTAGATTTGAATCCAGTAGCACCTTAGAGCACCTCAGTAGCACCTTAGTAGCACCTTAGTGGTTAAGAATGGTGGACTCTAATCTGGAGAACTGGGTTTGATTCCCCACTCATCCTCCACATGAAGACAGCTGGGTGACCTTGGGTCAGTCACGGTTCTCTCAGAGCTCTCTCAGCCCCCCCACGTACCTCACAGGGTGTCTGTTGTGGGGAGAGGAAGGGAAGGATGTTGTAAGCCACTCTGAGACTCCTTCGGGTAGTGAAAAGCGAGGTATAAAAACCAATTCTTTTTCTTCTTCTTCCTCTTCTTCCTCCTTCTCTTCCTCTTCCTCCTGCTTTTCTTCTTCTTCCTCCTCCACTTCCTCCTCCTCCTCCTCCTCTTCCTCTTCTCTTCGTCAGATGAGCTAGATTCAAGTCCAGTAACACCTTAGTACTTTTATCTGGCAATGGGAGCTTTGACTCTTAAAAGCTTATAACCTGGAAATCTTTATGGTCTTTCTGCTGTTCTTGAACTCGAATCTTTCTCCTGAAGATCTGTGAGTAATGCACAATCGGAGCAAGCTCCCCTGATGAACACCTTGGATTTTCTTGGGTTTTTAAAATGTTAATGAGTGCTTACTTCAAAATAATAACTTCGGGATCATGAGGGAGTAACCTGCCTTTATCTTGAACGTTTGTGCATTGTTATGCTCTTCACTGAGATTGGCTTCCAATCGATTGCTAAATTCCAGAGCGTTCTGCCTGCTGGACAGGCCTCTGTTTCTTACACAAGAGCCTCCAAGCCACGTGGATGAAGTGGCATTCCAAAAGCAGACTGCGATGCCATGTAAAAGTCTGTCACTCAACAAACAGAGATGTGGGGGGGGGAATCCACCGGGTGTCCCTTAAGGACTCTAATTTGGTTTCCAGCCTTTGATTTCTGCTTGTTCTATCTGTTTTGTGTCTTTGGTTTCCTCCAGGGAAGGACGTCAGTCTGATAGAAATCAAGGAAGATCTGGAGCTGTATCCGGAGGAGAATAGCTCCGTCTTCATGGGCATTCTCATCAAAGGCCTGGCAAAGCTGAGGAAGGTTCCGGAGACTGTGAAGGCCATCCAGGATCGCCTGGAGCAGGAGCTGAAGCAAATTGTCAAGAGATCCACCACCCAGGTGGCAGACAACGGCTACCAGCGGGGAGAGAACCTTGCCCAGGAAAACCAGCCCAGGTAAGGCATGCTGCTTTGAAGACTTGGTCTCCTGGGTGGAATGATAACTGGGGGGAAAGGGGGTTTCTGGTATTCCTTTCTGGAGCCCTTTTAATACTCCACTCCCTTCCTGACTGTGTTCAAGCCAAGGCTTGCGTGGCCTACGTAAATGTGGAACTGGTTATACTGAGATTTCTGTAGCCTTTGTTATTAAAAAAAATGGTGGATCGATGATATCTATTCGTGTAAACTCGGTCAGTGTTAGGAAAGAACCCGCCTGACCACTGTGGTCCTCTTTGGAGGCCCTGCTTCAGGTGCCTCGCCTTCTGACGTTAGGTGGGTGTAGGCCAAGGAGAGGGCCTTCTTGGTCATGGTACCAAAGCTCTGGAACGCCCTAGAATCATTTGTCCCCTTCTGTTGCCATTGTTTCCCAACAGGTGAAGACTTTTTTGTTTTGTTTTAAGAACAGAAGAAGAGCCCTGCTGGATTAGACCAGTGAGGGTCCCTCTAGTCCAGCATCCTGTCTCACACAGGGGCCAACCAGTTCCTCTGGAGGGCCAACAACAGGGCAGAGAGGCCGAGGCCTTCATAAGAACATGAGCCCTGCTGGATCAGACCAGTGGTCCCTCTAGTCCAGCATCCTGTCCCACACAGGGGCCAATCAGTTCCTATGGAAGGGCAGCAACAGGGCAGAGAAGCCGAGGCCTTCATAAGAACATGACCCCTGCTGTATCAGACCAGTGGTACATCCAGTCCAGCATCCTGTCTCACACAGTGGCCAATCAGTTCCTATGGAAGGGCAGCCACAGGGCAGAGAGGCCGTGGCCTTTATAAGAACATGAGCCCTGCTGTATCAGACCAGTGGTACATCCAGTCCAGCATCCTGTCTCACACAGTGGCCAACCAGTTCCTATAGAAGGGCAGCAACAGGGCAGAGAGGCCAAGGCCATCCCCTGTTAAGAACATCAGAGGAGCCCTGCTGGATCAGACCAGCAGTTCCTCTGTTCCAGCATCCTGTCTCACTCAGTGGCCAACGAGTTTCTCTGGAGGGCCAAGAACAGGGCACAGAGGCCGAGGCCTTCCCCTGTTAAGAACATAAGAGCCTTGCAGTGGGGGTCCATCTAGCCCAGCATCCTGTCTCACACAGTGGCCAACCAGTTTTTTTTGGACGGCCAACAACAGGACATAGAGGCTGAGGCACAATTTCGACAGGAAAGATGAGAGTTAGGGCATGGTTTCCTGTCCTGAAAAACACAAAATGCTCTATATCTCACAACAGCACTACAGATAAGATTAGAATTTCAACAGCCAATCCATATGCAAAAGAACCTCCTCAGGAAAGCTCCTCCATTAGCATGTCATAGCCTGGGGAACTCCTACAAGATAATGACTCAGCCCTACCCCACCTTCCTGTGTAGATATAAATTACCTGCCTACCATTTTTCTTCTCACCTTGACACAGAGAGTATTCCATCTTTCTGTGTTGTACCTCTGAGGATGCCAGTCACAGCTGCTGGAGAAATGTCAGGTCCTACAATGCCAAGACCTCAGCCCATACAGCCTGGAAAATCTACAACAGCTAATGCTGAGGCCTTTGTTTGGCATTCCCTCCATCCTAACCAATATTTTTATGTTTTGTATGTATTTTAATTCTGTTTTGTATGTTTTTAACTGTTTTTTTACAAATTGTTTTAAATTATGTGTATTTGGGAAGGGGGTTGATTTTAGTGATTTTTAAAACGTGATTTAATCATGTGTGTTTTAAATTGTTAGTGGCCCTTGTAAGACAGAAAGACAAGGTACAAATTTTGTAGACAGGTAAATGGCATTAGGGAAGAAAGGATAGCGTTTGTTAAATTCTTCTAAAAAAAATGGTATTCAAGTCTCAAGGTTTTAGGGAAGCATTTTGAGAAAACTATGGCAAAGCTAACAACAGGCTAAAAACAAGAAGTCGGAATTACTTACGCTTTTCAATTCATGCCTTTTAACCATTTCACAAGAAGAATAGATTGTGTATTAATGCAGTGTATCCATTAACTGCAATTTAGCATCTGCCACGTTCCTGGAAACGTTTTGCAAATTATATTAATTGTGTGCTTAAAATGTGCAAATTGTCTGCGATGCCGAGGCAGGCGGGTGCTGTTCCGGTAGCGTCTTGACATCTGCGGTTTCCGCCTCTCCTCTTTATGAATGGGGTGCCTGCAGTCGGCAGAGAAATCCACCCAGGTAGAAAGTGTGAGTGAACTAGAGCTGATGGTCTGGGTTAGCGGACCGCTCGAAGCTCTTGACACTGAAGCATGGGTTGTCTCATTTAATTGCAAAGAACGCTGTTCCAGGTGCCGGGAATGGTACTTTTAAGGGTCAGTACTGTTGTCTGTCTCGGTTGTCGTCAAAGCAGGTACCAATGCTGAGCAGCAGTTCTCAGATGCTGCCCTGTCTGAGCCTTAGAAAGTGGGGAGGAAGACTTTTCAAGCCAGTCCAGATCTAACAACACATAGAAATGCAGGCTGCTCCTATTAGCACTGCTCGTTTTCCTCTTGGGCTCGGTAATAGGCTGTGGGACTGGGGCAGGTGTGGTCAGGTGAGGGGCCCGTAAGGCAGATGTTCATTGCGGACTGGGTGGAGAGCAAGGTTCCCTAGTCTTGGTGTCTCCCATGACAATGTGTCTGTTACTTTGGTCACAAGAGACAGCAGTGATCAGCAGCATAGCCAAGTGTCAGGTAGCCCTCCCATAGCACTGGTATGTGGGGGTGAAGCTCTCCATTCCCAGCACTTCCCTGCCCAGCTACTGAGCGCTATTGCTCACTTGACCTTGTTGTCTCCAGCTGCAGTTAGGTGGCTGGGAAAGTTAACGGCTTTAGGCTCTGCCCACTTGCTTCAGCCCCCGCGCGCGAACTAGAAGAAGAAGAAGAAGAAGAAGAAGAGATTGGATTTATACCCCAGTCCGCACACTTAACCACTACACCAAACTTGCTCTTATGCTCTTGGGGTTTTTTTTTATATTCCTATAAGCCTGAAGCCCCTATACTACAGGCTATTCCTGACACAAGCTGTATACATGATCTTTAGGACTGGACTAACAATAAACACTTATCTTCTGAAGAAGCCTTGTGTGGTGTGCCCTGCCTAAAGACCCTGACACCAAGGTACCTTGCTTGGAGGGAACTCCTGCTCAGCAGAAGTAAGGAACCATGTGTTCCTGGGAAGATGCCATAGTGGGACTGGAGCTGCTTGTCTCAGACTTGGGCAGGAGCAGGGCTTTTTTTTGTAGAAAACGCCCAGCAGGAGCTCATTAGCATAGCAGGCCACAACGAACAGCAGACTCATTAGCATATTTGGCCACACCCCCATGCCTTCCCTTGGCTGTGGGGAGCCCAGGTGAGCCGACCCTTGGACAGGCCAGGGAAGGCATTTAAATGCCTCCCTGATTCTTCCAGGGACCCCGCTGGCCCGCCCGCCTGCCTCGGAGTCGCCGAGGGGGTCATTCTCCAGGCCTTCCCTCTGTAGCCAGGCACGCAGAGGTTTTGGCTGTAGTGGGCGTGGCCAACTCTGAAGCCAAAAAAATCTGTACACACACGACTAAAACAGATAAACAAATATAAAGCCAACAGTCGTGATAGTCTGACCCGCAATCAACAGTCATAAGACTTATAAGAATTGCTGTACATGTATTGTGCTCTGAAGCATTACAATATGATACACAACTTAATAGAATTTATAAACCAAGGTACAACATCGTCTCCGGATTATTTACCAACTTTTCAAAAAATGAATCTTCTTCAGGAGATATTATAGAGGTGCCAAAGCTCTCATTTTCATAAAAGTTAGACAACAAGTCTTAAGCATATCACAATTCAGATAGGACGCTGATCTCAATTAACACGCAGTGTTTTTTTCTGGATCCTTGGCGTCTCTCTGACTCTGAAGCCAGCCGGAACTCCGTTCCTGTGCGTTCCTCCCCAAAAATAGCCCTGGAGGAGTACTCCCAACACTTTCTCAACACAGTTAATCACACTTAGACATTGGCAGGAAAAGGTAATAGGACAGAAAAGATGGGATGGAATTTGCATCCGTGCAAATTAGGGATGTGAGCTTTTGCTGGTGTAGTTAGGAAATTAATCATGGCAAACTTGTTTTTTCTAGGCTGCTTTGATTTCGGCATGTTAGGAAAAGTGGTAAGGAAGGAAAATGAACCCTTCCTTCTAATAATGTTTGGGGGTTTTTTGGGGGGAAAGGTAAATTATCTGACAGATCAATATCTCAAAAAAGCGTCCATGTCGAAATTTTGGCAATATGTATTTTCTAAAAATGTAACCAGTTAATTATCAACAGGCGGATGGTTGATCAACTAACAATCCTCATGCATCTGATAGCTGAAGCATTTTTCTGTTCAAACAATACTGGAAAAAAAATTGAAGAACCAGTATGCTGGAGTCGTGTTTTGAACTTTCAATGACCAGATAAAATAGTCAGAATATCTGTTCTTTAAAAGAGAGTGAGAATCTTGTTTCATGTTAGACTTTTTTTTTGCCACCAGGGCCAAAAATATGGCCACTGCTTTGGTGACTGAATCAGCTCTGTCAGATAAAAGAACAGAAATTGACCAGGGAAGGGAGAGGAGATTTTCTTTTATCAAGATAGGTATAATATACTTCTGCCTCTCCATCTTCCAGTTGGGGCAAGCTAACACTATGTGATCCATTGTCTCCACCCTACCTAGGCTACAGTCGCACAGCCGTTCAGAGAACGGGATGCCCTGAAAGCGGCCCAAGACTACATTAGACGGAAACGTATTCAGTCTAGCCAGCGTGAAGGCTCTGCGAAGTGCTGAACTTTTGAGAGTGTAGCAATAAGTAGGAATCACCGACGAATATGTATTTTCTAAAAATGTAACCAGTTAATTATCAACAGGGGGATGGTTGATCAACTAAAAAAAATCCTCACGCATCTGATAGCTCAAGCATTTTTCTGTTCAAACAATACTGAAAAAAATTTGAAGAACCAGTATGTTGGAGTCGTGT